CCTGCTAATTACCCACAATGCCACAGTCATTATTTTCCCATCTCTGCCACTAATTTGCTCCATACCTTCTTTTCCCCCACTCTAGCAGACCCATCAGCTCCCAGACAGCTTCTAGCTAACTTCAGCTCTCTGTCGACTCTATAAGAGAGTAAAGAAAGAAACAAAGACGAGAGGAGAAGAAAAAAAGGAAAAAAACATGGCGAAGGAGTACACGTCCCAGACATTGATTAGAATGCAATTGCAAACAGGTGTCGTTGAGGTCCACTTTTTAATTGTGTGCACAGAGACATGTACGCAAGCCCGCACGCAAGCACACACACAGCAACTATTTTACTCTAATAACCTCTTTGCTTACACCAAACATGTAATTATGTACATTGCTTATTTAATATTTAATCATTAGGCCAAATGAAAACAATCCTGTTCTGTGCTGATCAGGGCAGATTAAAGAGTTGAATGACTGGCGCTGCAGGTGGGTTTACCCAGTGTGTGTCCTTAGAGCAGGAGGGGAATGACAGATTCAGTTTGTCAGAATTTGTGTGTGTGGTGTATATTTAGTAGTTTGTATATTTCTCTTTCTATTCTATATTCACTCTTAAAAATGATTGTTGTGCGGTGGGTGTTTTGAATTCTTCTCACTTTATTCAGCTATTACTCTAACCTCTTGAAATACTCATTGACGTTTTTGCAAGATTGAAACCAGGACTGCCCAAGAACCCCTGTGAAAGAGTCCAAACCCAATGAAGTTGTTTAGGGATCCCGTGACACTGTTTTGACACTTTTGGCTCCCGCTGAAAAGTTTCTGAGTGTAAAAAGTATAATGGCTCTTATCCACTAGATTCCTTCCGGTCCATACTGCTCACCATCTCCCAACTTTAAATTCCAGCTTCCTCAGAAGTGTTCCTGGTCTATGTGTTTTGGTTTGGGAGAAGGAGGAGCTGAAGAGAGAAGTGCGGGGAGGTCTGAAGTGGTTTGTTTGTCATTGGTGTTGTTAGATTCATTGTTTCCTGTGTTGGTTGGACAGTGGGTTTGTGTTGGCGTTGGGTCTGTTATTCTGGCTGCAGCATACTCCTCTCCTCCGCTCTTCTATCCCTGCTTCTCATTACAGTGAATAAACACAGGGCAAGTATTGGACAGAACAACTTTTGAAGAACCAAGAGAGTGTGTGTGTGAGGGTTTGCATCTGTGTGTGAGTTGTTATTGTGTAAACAATGGAAACAGCTAAAATGAACAAATTCTAGAAAATAGACAACTTCAGAGCAAACACTTTTAACAAATGTGTAACATTTTTGAACGACTCTCAGATCATAAGTGGGGTGGATAGTCCTGCTCAATGTAGCAAGTTGTCTAGCAGTCTAAATAGTGACGTAAGTTATAACACATAATAGTTTTGTTGATTGGGTAAGAGCTACTTGGCTAAGGCCACTTGTTCTGTTAACTAGTCTTTTGGGCTTGTGTGTGTGTGTGTGTGTGTGTGTGTGTGTGTGTGTGTGTGTGTGTGTGTGTGTGTGTGTGTGTGTGTGTGTGTGTGTGTGTGTGTGTGTGAGTGTGTGTGTGTTTGAATCTTTTTTATCTGAGCTATCCTTCGCTTCGATCTTTGGTCAACTGTCTGTTGTTCCTATTTCCAGGGAGGTCGGCTACAGTTGCTTTAGTCTTAAACGTGTTTAACATTGCGCAAGATGGTCACATGAACTTCATGGTTTTTGGACATAGACCTTCAGATTAGCTCCTCTCGGCTATGGTCTTTATTTTTTTATTTTTCATTTCTATAAGCTCACACTGACACAAAACAGCAGTATGAGTACTTTTACCACTGGTTTCAGTTTGAATCATCTGCTTACAAAATGTTCCACTCATTTTAAAATGTTGGGATATATATTTCTGTGTTGAATTAGCAGGATTCAGTATTTTTTTCAGCTTGTTTTGTTCCTCTGCCAACCAAAGAAATAAATGTGTGATAAAAGACAAGTTTGAATTCCACAATTATATATTTTTTGTATATATTCAACTTTAGGGTGCTGTCTGCATTTGAAATGATGATGACTGAAATTAGAGGCACATACATTCTGTTAGCAAATACTGTATGTATACTGTATGTATATCTGTGTCACTGTGTGTGTGTGACATGTTGATGAATTTCAAGTCCAGAGCTGACAGCCTGTCAACCTTATTCTTCTAAACACACACAGATATACTGTATACCTTCCATAATATGTATGGCTTCCTCTCTGTCTACTATTTCCTTTAACTCTCTCTGACTTTTTGTTGTTGTTGATAAAAGTTAGCTGTCACCATCTGGAGACTTTCTGGTCCTGAAACTGTCTAGGACGCATATTTGTATTTTATATTCTCTGAGGGGACAATATGGATCACTATATATTCGGTAAATACACACATAAACAGCACACCCTCAAATGTCCCTTGACAGTCATGGCTGAAGGATGTTGGCAACAGGTGTGCAGTTGGGACGCTATTATGACAGAGCTGGCAGATGTACACACCACAAACGCACACATAAACAGACAATTTCACACAAACACACAGTGTGGGGAAAGTGGAAAATAAATAAATAAGCCAAGAAACTGTGGGAGAGCGGGTGACAGAAAGCCGGTCTCGCAGGGCGGTGTGCTCCACTGCAACTAATTAACCCCAGGAAATAATTGCAACAATATGCAAATGCTGTTTAGATAATTCACTGTACTGCCGTGCCAGGTAGTCAGTCACTCTGTTGCCTGCCACTTATAGTGTAGGCAAAGAATTATAATTATTGTAAGGTTAGGAGAATGGGGGGATTCATTAACCACCATGAAGACGTCAATCTACAATATGTGTCTTAATATCTTTCATTTGATTAATTTTGTCAGTTATTGGTCTTTGGCACATTTTACCTGCAATCAGTTGATATCGGCAATTTTGGAATTGTTGATGAAGCAACACATCATGTACCACTCACAACTCACGCGCACATGTACAGTAGTTTATCCCTCCTTAATGTCTCTTTGTCGAGCACTGTCACTAAAGGGTGGGTGGAGAGGTGGACAAAGCAGGTGATGTAGGAGTGTGAAGAACAGGTGGCATCAGTGGAGGTAGAAGAGAGGGAGGGAGGCTAATGAAATGGGCTTCACAGATGAAGGGTGACATGGTGGAGGAGAGAGGAGGGAGACTTCAAAGGACTTTGATGTCACAGCCTTTCAGACAGACAACTCTGCTCCAGCCGGCCCCTCCGTGCATGTAGGAGGACACACACACACACACACACACACACACACACACACACACACACACACACACACACACACAGAGAGCACTGATGGCAGAAGGGCAGAGCTGAGTTGCCTGGTCTTGCATCACACTCTGTGAATGAGGTGGTTGCTGACACTACAACCCTCTCATGCTAATCTAGCGGTAAACACAAACACTCTGACAGGTTAATTTACCTCTAGACAAACACAGCAACAAAAAACCCACTGCAGCACATCATTAAACAGTGGAAACACACACACACACACACACACACACACACACACACACACACACACACACACACACACACACTCACACCATTGCACATATAATACTTATATAAATGATGTATACATATCTTATACACACGGCTATGCGCAAGTGAAAAACACCTCGTCAATTCACCAATTTTATTCTAAGCGATAAGTTTAAACCATACTTAATATAGAGTGTTCTACATTAACTCCTCAATTACCACCTTAAAGAGAGTGAATGGTAAAGTAATTATCTTTTTTAATATTTCTTACTTTGAAAATGCTAACACATGTATGGAAGCAAATAGGAGAGTCTCTTAAGATACCTTCGCTGTCCTTTATCTCATATCTCTAATTATTTGTCTTGGAGTCCCATTTTGATGCTCAATTAGCAGATGAGTCTCCATTCTCTATAGGCCATGTGTTTGTTTATTTCGAGATATTTTTTATATACATCTGCACTCTAATTAAAAGGAATGTGTGTGTGTATGGTGTGTTTGCATTCAATATTGTGCCATCTTAAAAACAGCATGGTCTAAACATACAGGTGTTTCTAGTCGACAAAGCTCCATGTGTAGTTTAACCTCTTGTGGGAATGCATTGTTGATTTCTATTGTGAAACGGACAGATTGATAGGAAATCAAAGTCTAGAAATCAATGTCACAAGTTCATTAATGGATGCCCTTTTACCGCCTGTACTTTTGCTATTGTTCTTTTCTACCCTGGATAAACGCTTACATCTCTGGTTAATTAAACATGTCTTGTGTGTGTGTGTGTGTGTGTGTGTGTGTGTGTGTGTGTGTGTGTGTGTGTGTGTGTGT